CTTCTAGTTGCTGTATGTGGGACGCCGCCTCAGCGTGGCCAGACAAGTGGGTGCGTCATGCGCGCTCAGGATCCGAACCTGGGCTGCCAGTAGCGGAGCACGCGCACTTAACAGCTAAGCCATGGGGCCGGCCCTTGAGAAGTAGCCATCTTTAGATCAGGAAGTGGGGTGGTGTGTGTGTGGAATTTCAACATCTCTGATGTGCAAGAAAAACTTTGGCTTTGAATTTTTTCCCATCAAATCAGGAAAATGATGTACATCTACTGGGCTTACTTATGTGGCAGAAACATGTGGACTTGGTCAAGAAGCCCTTCTGAAGGGGTAGAAGCCCCTAGATTCCTAGCTGAATTTCTAAAGTAAGTTCAGATAAAATATGCTATTATACTTAGGGAGGTTCAATTAGGTTGAGAAAAACAAAGTGGTGCACAGATTACTGATATCCAGGCAAAAAAATACTACACAAAAACATGTTGATTTGAAGAGCTCTTAGGGAGTATTTAATCCCCCCAACCCTGCACCATGTGAATCTACTTTTTCACAATCTGGAATGTAAAGAAAAACTAACGGTAGTGAGTTGGACTGCTAGAAAAAGGAGATTTCTGCCAGGAAGTGACCCACGCTTTGTCTGACTTGCATTCAATGAGAATTTTACTGCTTTCTGGGAGAGATGGCTCCTTTTCTCATTTATTAATAAGAAGTCATATTTAGTCTGTCTTTTTCCAAATTACATAAACATCTGGAACTCACTAAGGAGAAAAGGAGGACAGACTAAGGCCTTGAGAAGAATTGGGGACACAGGAACAAAGATCCATGCACACATGTAATAGATAACAGGAAAATAGAAAATATCAGTTCCACCTTATTTCAGCATTAGAGCAATTATTTTTATTCTTTAGGGAGTAAACACATTTTTAGAAATTATATGAATATATATCTATGGGTATTTTAGCTGTGTGGAAAAGAACAAATTTTTTTATCTTTGAATTAGAATCTTTATAGTTTTGTTAAAATTTGATGTCAGAAAACATGTATGCAAGAAGAGAGTAGAGTGAAAGATTTCAAGTGTTGTTAAAAAAAAAAACAAAACTCATGAACCCAGCATTCTGTATGCAGTGAAATTATCCTTCAAAAGTGAAGGCTGAAGACTTTCTCAGATGAAAACTGAGGGAATTTACTCTGTAAAGTCTGTAAGAAATGTTGAAAGAAGTTATTAAGAAGGAAAATGATATGTCAAAAACTCAGTTTTATATAAGGATAAGCATCAGAGAAGGAATAAATGAAGGTAAAAAAATTAATTAGCTAGGTTCAAAAGCCTGTCTTTAGTCTATAACTTGAATATATTCTTTTAGAATGGTGTCTTTTGGAAATCTAGAGATATGTGAAAAGCAGACACATTCATGAAATTCAAGCACACAACAAATTATTTTGTACATATTGTTTCCCCTACCTGGAATAGCCTCGGCTCTTTCTTCTCAACCTGAAAAGATTGTTCAAGACTGAGTTTTAAATGGAGGCCGGATAGAGTAGTGGTTAAAAGAATGTGTTTGAACTCAAACTCTGCACTGTGTACTTAGGCAAGCCTCATTACCTCTGGGTTTTCTTTAAAATAACCTTTTAGGGTTTTTTTAGTGTCGTGAGGAATAAATGAGATAATATATAAGGTAGTTAGCATAGTACCACACAATAACAGTGCTCAAGACATGAAAGCTACTACAAATAATAGATATAACTCCTCTAAGTCTTTCCTAATGTTCCCAGGAGGAATGTTACTTCTTTCTTTGTGCTTCCAAATGCTAAGTTTATACTTCTATTTGAGCATTTGTCACAAAGTATCTCATTTGCCCACTTAAATGTGAGTTCTTGGGAGCTGAAACTGTGTCCTATACAACTTTTTATTGTCAGCACCTTGCAAATGCCAGTTAACTTCTAAGTACTCAATATTTTTTGGATGAATGAATTATAGGTAATAAAGCAGTGTTCCCAAATTTTAATGTGCAAGCTTTTAGAGACTATTAAAAATGCAGGTTCTGGGCCGGCCCCATGGCGTAGCGGTTAGGTGCACGGGCTCCGCTACTGGTGGCCCGGGTTTGGATCCTGGGCGCGCACCAATGCACCGTTTGTCAAGCCATGCTGTGGCAGCATCCCATATAAAGTGGAGGAAGATGGGCACAGATGTTAGCCTGGGGCCAGTCTTCCTCAGCAAAAAGAGGAGGATTAGTGTGGATGTTAGCTCAGGGCTGATCTTCACAAAAAAAAAAAATTAAAAAAAAATGCAGCTTCCTAAGGCCCCAACCCCAGAGACTGATTTACTAGGTACCTGCATTTTAGCAAGTTAACCCTCCCCACTTCCAGAGATTATTTTGGTGCAGTGGTCTTTGCACCAGACTTTGAGAAACACTGTATAAAGGATGACTTATGGGAACAATGCTTTGTCTGAAAGAAAAACAACAGTGAAGTATAAACAATCCTAGTAAAGACATTTCTTATTTTTACTTGCCTTGCACTGTTCTGTATTTATCACAGTTTCTGTTGAACAGCTTTTTGAGTATTTGGGGAGTTTATCTTGCCATCTTCACCCTCCTGGTTTTCTGTACCCACCTGTCTCACTGCAGTTCCTTCTGTGTTCTGTGACTTTTAGAAAAGAGGGGAAGGGGTCTTGGATTTTATTTGTTTGTTTGTTTCTCCTTAGCATTAGGACTTGATATTTTCAATTCTGGAAGAACTAAAAGATAAACTGTGGGGTTTTTTGTTGTAAAAAAAAAAAAAAAGTCTACACCCTTGTGCTGTAGACATTATAAACAAGGGAAGAAAAATAAGACAATTACAAGCACAATTATTTTTCCACATGTCAACTCTTTTATAGTTAGGTATGTTACCTATGTTTGGAACTTAAGACTCTTAGCTCTTAGATAAGTTCAAATGTCACTTGCAAGTTGATATTAATAGGACAGAACATACTCATTCTTTTCATGCTAATAATGGTATAATTGGGTAACATTTTGATTGAGATGGAGACACTATTCAGACTTGACAACATTAGCTGGTATTCAGGTTAGTCTTCATGTGTCCTGCCCGCCCCCCAAGCCTATATGTGTTACAGTTATATATTTGTGTATCCGTAATTTTCTACACAGGATGAAACAGAGGCTGGAATCCTAGTGTAAAGGGGGAGTGTTACTGGCCTTGTGTGGAAAGTTCTTATTTCCAGTTAAAACAACTGAAGTTGTAAAACTGCACAGAGAGACCAGAGAGCCAATAAGCTTTATTATACAGAAATGAGAAGACCACATACATTAAATGAGAAGGTGTTTTGCCGTGAACATTATGCAGATTCAAACTGAAGATATCCTCATCTTATTGAGATACAATATAAAAATAAATACTGACCAAGAGTTGTAAGAAAGAACTCAACTCAACTTCTACCCCTCCAGTCAAGCTGAGACTTTCCACAGGAAAACCTGGTTTCAATTCACACCGAATTGTTCAAATGGGAAAAAAAAAACTAAGTCAGGTAGAGATAACACATGGACTGGTTTTTGTACTTTTGGACAGCCAGACTGAAGCTCGGCTTAGCCTCACATTTAGAATTTGTTTCACGTTAAAATTTGTATCTCTAGTCACCTAAGTGATACCTGAAGTGAAAAAATGAAAAAAATGTTAATTGAGTTGGGGAATTCTGTGGGGCTAGACACATATGGGGGAGGAGATGGAAGTTATAATCATTCATTTGATTACTTCTGATTAGGAAGATCTGATATCAGGTCTTGGTCCTCTGTCTTAGCCTTTTGACAGCCTGTTTCTCTCTAACAGTCAAAAGGCAGGATCCATGAAAAGTATCAGCATAATAAATGCTCAACATTAGCACAATTTGCTGCTTGCTTTATATTCCCAAATACTGGACTGGACTTTATATCAGCAGCATGCTTTTGACACCCAATTGCCCCTCTAAAAAGGATTTTTCTTAATAAGCTTCTCTTTGCACTCACTACTAAATTGAAAAACATTTTAGAGATTTGGCTAGAAACATGGTTGTGTTGAAACAAGACTAATGACTAGGAGGATATCTGTGGATTAAATATAGACAAAACTACTTCCAGAACCCTTAAATATAGACAGAATCTATCAATTTATGTAGGAAATCAAAAAATAGGGAACAAGAAGATCTGGAGTTTAGATATACTGTCTGGAGTCAGGATGCTGCTATTCAGCAACTGAAATTTACAAGTCCCTCAATTCAATCAGGGCAGAGACACTTAAAATAGTCTGGAGGAATCAGAAAATTCTGATGCCACCTCCCTTCCTTACAAATTGTAATGCTGATTGCATGAAGGAAGTGGTTGAGAGATACATTTTGTTCATTTAGACTTTTGTCCTAATGAATGATCAAGTAGGATAATGCTAACAAAGAGGGTAGAATATATTTCTGGTTCTAGGACTGTGAGAACCAGGTAATCAAATTTGGAATAGTCTCATTAGGTAAGAAAAGGAAAGATGAGAAAATCACTAGTGGGACATACAATCCCAGAGATCATCTGCTCCAAAAATTAGTTTTGTTTCCATTGCCCCTTATTCAAAGAGACAACTAGTTATTTCAATAAGCTACATTACTTAGCAGAGTCTGAGAGACAAAGACTGAAAACACGTATTTAAAATAGAAAACAAACTTTAAAAAATGTAATACAGTCATGCACCACATAATGACATTTCGGTCAACGACGGACTGCATATACGACAATGGTCCCATAAGATTAGTACCATATAGTCTAGATGTGTAGTATGTTATACCATCTAGGTTTGTGTAAGCACACTCTATGACGTTCGCACAATGAGGAAATCACCTAATGACGCATTTCTCATAACATGTCCCCGTCGTTAAGCGACCCATGACTGTAAATGGTTTGCTCTACATCTCATTCACATTCTGTGGCTGGAGAACTCCAAATCCCACTTAGATATTCCTGCTTATCCAAAAGCACATTGGATGAAAGTAAACCAAGAAATGAAAGAAAATGTTTATTCAGTGTGTGTGTGTTCACCCAGTTTATTCACCTCTGAAATGGAAGTATAGGGAGAGATAAAGTCTACTTATAATGGTTAAGGTCTGTGGAGAAGCCCTGAAATTGCTCTCTCTAAATCATGAGCCTGATTCAAAAGAAGGAAAAAAAAAATTGATGAAGAACATCTCATCACATAAAACTCAGTGATGATGTCTCTGACAGTCACCAGCTAATAGGGGAAAAAGGAGAAACCCACTTGTTGGCTTTAGGATTTATTGAAGGCTGCTAACACAGCCCAGATCATTTCTGTGGCACTGTGCTTTGTCCCCTCTACTTCAGGGTCCAGTTCTACTAGGTCCTTGGCTCGGTTCATTGCCATATCATACTTGTCATCTGTCAGAGAAGAGAAGACATTCTCTAGCACATCGGAAGAGTGGGCTAGCACCAGGAGTGCTAGAGTTCGCTTGTCCATACGCTGAGGGTCATTTACCCACCGCTCTAGGACACTATCTTGAAGTTTTTTCACTAATCGCTGTTTCTCTGTTGTATTCGTCACTGGATGAGTAGTCATGTCAAACAGGAGGAAATTCTGCTTCTCAGTGGTTAGAATACCCTTCTCTACTAGGTTCTTTGCAATTCGCTCTCTTACATTTCTCAGCTGGTATTGCAATTTGAAGGGGTTCCAGGTCTCACCTATGAGGAAAAGAACTAGAAGACTTGAATAATACTATACACCAACTAGACCCAACGAGACATCTATAGAACATTCTACTCAATAGTAGTAGAAGACACATTCCTCTCAAGTGCACATGCAGCATTCTTCAAGATAGGCCATATGCTAGGCCGTAAAACAAGTCTTAATAAATTTAAAGATTTTATTTATTTATTTATTTTTTATTCCCCCCCCCCAGGCCCCAGTAGATAGTTGTACGTCATAGCTGCACATCCTTCTAGTTGCTGTATGTGGGACTCGGCCTCAGCATGGCCGGAGAAGTGGTGCCTTGGTGCACACCCGGGATCCGAACCTGGGCTGCCAGCAGCGGAGCGTGTGCACTTAACCGCTAAGCCATGGGGCCGGCCCAGTCTTAATAAATTTAAAAGGCCTGAAAAACATACAAGTATGCTATCTAACCACAATGGAATTAAATTAGAAATTAAAAACAAAAAGAAATTTGGGAAATTAAAATGTATGTGGAAATAAAACAACACACTCCTAAATAACTAATGAGTCAAAGAAGAAATCACAAGGGATATTAAGAAAATACTTTGAGTTGAGTGAAAATAAAAAAATACAACATATCAAAACTTATGGGATGTAGCTTAAAGCAGAGCTAAGGGGGAGATTTACAACTCCAAATGCTACATTAGAAAAGGAGATGTCAAATCAATAACCTAACCTTCTACCTTAAAAAACTAGAGAAAGAAGAGCATACTAAACCCGAAAGTAAGCAGAAGAAAGGAAATAATAAAGACTAGAGTGAAAAAGAGAAAATAAAAACAATCAAGAAATTCAATAAAATCAAAATGTGGTTGGTTGAAAAGATCAAAAAAATTGACAAACCTAAACTGACCAAGGGAAAAAAAGAGAAGACTCAAATTATTAAAATTAGGAATGACAGAGGAGACATCACTACCAACCTTAAAAAAATAAAAAGAGTTCTAAGGGGAATACTATGAACAACAGTATGCCAACAAATTAGATAACCTAGAAGAAATGGACAAATTCCTTGAAACACACAGATTACCTTAACTGACTCAAGGAAGAAAGAGAAAATTGGAATAGATGTATAACAAGTAAACAGATTGAATAAGTAACTTTAAAACTTCTTCCCACAAAGAAAAGTGTGGCCAAGGTGGCTTTACTGGTAATTCTACCTAACATTTACAGAAGAATTAATACCAACTCTTCACAAACTCAAAAAAACAGAAGAGGAGGGAACACATCCTTAGTCTGTACAGTAAGTATTACTCCGATACCAAAACCAGACAAAGACAAGAAAACTACAGACCAATATCTCTTGTGAATATAGGTACAAAAATACTCAACAAAATACCAGAAAAACAAATCTAGCAACATATAATAAAAACTATATAATATGATCAGGTGGGACTTATATCAGAAATCCAAGGTTGTTTTAACATCCAAAAATCAATTACATAATACATCATATCAATAGAATAAAAAGCAAAAACAAGTGATCATCTCAATAGACACAACAAAAGTATTTGATAAAATCCAACACCCTGACATGGATAAAAACACTCAACAAACTAGGAATAGATGGGAACTTTCTCAACCTGATAAAGGGTATTTGCGAAAAACCCACAGTTAGTATAACACTTAATGGTGAAAGAGTGAATGCCATCAGGAACAAGACAAGCATGTCCATTCTCATCACTTCTATTCAACACTGTACTGGAGGTTCTAGCCAGGGCAATTAGGCAAGAAAAGGAAAGAAAAGGCATCCAGATTAGATAGGAAGAAGTTAAACTATTTTTATATGACATGATCTTGTATATAGAAAAATCTAAGAAATCCATTTAAAAAGTATTACAGCTAATAAGTTCAGCAAGGTTGCAGGATACAAGATTAATATACAAAAATCAGTTGAATAAGGATAGACATATAGATCAATGAAGAGTCCAGAAATAAACCCATACATTTATGGTCAAATGATTTTTGACAATGGTACCAAGACAATTCATGGGAGAAAGAACAGTCTTTTCAACAAATAGTGCTAGGACAACTGTATATATATCCTCATACAAAAGAATGACATTGGAGCCGTACCTCACACCGTAAATAACAACTAACTCGAAAAGGATAATACACCTAAATGAAAGAGCTAAAGCTATAAAACTCTTAGAAGAAAATAGGAGTAAATCTTCATGACATTGGGTTGGGCAATCATTTCTTAGATATTACACCTGAATCACAAGCCACAAAAGAAAAAAAGATTAATTGAAATGTATCAAAATTGAAAACTTTTATGTATCAAGACAACCCACAGAATGGAAGAAAATTTTTACAAATCATGTATCTGCAAAAATATTTGTATCTAGAATATATTTAAAAAGTACAACTCAATAGTAAAAAGGCAAACCCAATTAAAAAGTGAGCAAAGGCGGGGGCTTGCCTGGTGACATAGTGGTTAAGTTCACATGCTCCACTTCGGCGGCCTGGGGTTCGCAGGTTTGGATCCTAGGTGCTGACCTACACACTGCTCATCAAGCCATGCTGTGGAGGCGTCCCATATACAAAAAGTAGAGGAAGATTGGCACAGATGTTAGCTCAGGAACCATCTTCCTCAGGTAAAAAGAGGAAGGTTGGCAACAGATATTAGCTCAGAGCCAATCTTCCTCACCAAAAAAAAAAAAAAAGTGGGCAAAGGATTTGAATAGACAGTTCTCCAAAGAAGATATACAAATAGCCAATAAGCACATACAAAGATGCTCAACATCATTAGTCATTAGGGAAATGCAAATAAAAATCACAACGAAATACCACTACGTACTCACTAGGATGGCTAAAATAAAAAGACAAAGAGTAACAAAAAGACAGAGAATGTGGAGGAATTGAAATTCTCACACACTGATGGTAGGAATGTAAAATAGTGTAGCCACTTTGAAAAACAGTCCCTATCCCTGTCCTCAAGAAGTTTAAAATCTAGTATGGGGTGATAGTGGGGATATAAAAATAATATTTGAGAGGCCGGCCCAGTGACGTAGCAGTTAGGTTGGTGCGTTCTGCTTCGGCAGTTCCCTGGTTTGGATCCTGGGCGTGGACCTGCTCACCACTCATCAGGCCATGTTGGGGTGGCGTCCCACAAAGAAGAACTAGAAGGACCTACAACTAGGATATACAACTATGTACTGGGGCTTTGGGGAGAAAAAAAGAAAAAGAGGAAGATTGGCAACAACTGTTAGAGCTCAGGGCCAATTTTCCTCAAAAAAAAAAAATACTTCAAGTGCACTCTACTAACAAACTGGATATAGATGATAAAGGTCTTTAAAATGTTAATCACAGGGCCGGCCCCGTGGCTTGGCGGTTAAGTGCGTGCACTGTGCTGCCGGCGGCCTGGGTTCGGATCCCGGGTGCACACTGACGCATTGCTCCTCTGGCCATGCTGGGGCCGCGTCCCACATACGGCAACTAGAAGGATGTGCAGCTATGACAGACAACTATCTGCTGGGGCTTTGGGGGAAAAATAAATAAATAAAAAATCTTTAAAAAAATAAAAAAATAAAAAAAAATAAAATGTTAATCACTGAGGTATGATGTCAGGGATAATGACAGAATAGGAAACACCAGAAATCCATTTCTCCACCTAGACAACAATCATACTAGTAGAATCTATCTGAAATAACTATTTTGGAACTCTGGAGTCTGTTTGAACACTTGTTGGTTCCAGGGGAAGGCTTAGCTGGCAAATTATGGTTAATATAGGTCAATTTCAGCCTTCAGCACAGTAGTAACTACTTAGCTCCTAGGCCCCAACCCCATGATAGGCACCTATGGGGACAGCAATCTGTAGTTTTGGAGCAGCTTGCTGGAGTCAGGGTGGGCAATAAATATCGAGATCTGTGTTCTGATTATGGATTGCAGCTTCTGATGGCTGCCATGCAGGTACAGGCTGGCTGCCATTGTTCCAATCCCCACCAGCTGAAGCAGCTTCCAGGAGATTTAAAGGAGAAGTGCTTTTTTTTTTTTAAATTCAAAAACAACCACATATACAAGGTATTTTAGAAAGCCAATGTGCTTCCTCAAGAAAAGATATAACCTCAGAAAAGACCTGAGATCTGAAGCTTTCACCTCAGTCTGATCCACAGCACACAGACACAGTACAACAATCCAAAAAAACAGCCCACCCTGGGGAATGGGGAGAATCTGATTCCCAGAGTTACCACATCATAAGATTCAAATGTCCAGTTTTCAACAAAAAATCACAAAGCATACAAAGAAACAGGAAAATATCGCCCATTCAAAGGAACAAAAGAAATTGACATAATAAATACTAGAGGAAGCCCAGATGTCAGATTTACTAGACAAAGACTTGAAAACAACTGTCTTAAAGATGCTCCTTTAAGGGGCCAGCCCTGTGGCTTAGTGGTTAAGTACGTGCGCTTTGCTACTGGTGGCCCGGCTTCGGATCCTGGGCGTGTACTGATGCACCGCTTCTCTGGCTATGCTGAGCAGCGTCCCACATATAGCAACTAGAAAGATGTGCAACTATGACATACAACTATCTACTGGGGCTTTGGGGAACAAGAGGAGGAGGATTGGCAATAGATGTTAGCTCAGAGCTGGTCTTCCTCAGCAAAAAGAGGAGGATTGGCATGGATGTTAGCTCAGGGCTGATCTTCCTCACACACACACACAAAAACCATGCTCCTTTAAGATGCTTCATTTAGCAAAGAGCTAAAGGAAGACATGGACAAAGACAAGAAAACAATGTATGAACAAAATTAGAATATCAATAAAGAGACAAAAATTATAAAAAGGAATTAAAAAGAAAGTTTGGAGCTTAAATACAATAACTGAAATGAAAAATACACTATTTGGGTTCAAAAGCAGATTTAAAGAGGCAGAAGAATTAACAAACATGAAGATAGGACAATTGAAATTATATAGCCTGGGGAACAGAAAGAAAAAATCTGAAAAAAAGTGAATAGAGCCTAAGGGACCTCTGGGA